AAGTGTCTATTTTACAATAGTAGGCAAGGGAAACTAATATTCATAAGGCAGTCAAGGATTTTAGTATTATTTACCCTCTTCAAGCTATATCTTAGATCCCTGTATCCCAGAGCCCTGTTGTTCTAAGATTGAGTATGCATCACTATTTACCTCTGTCCCACTAAGCCATTAGCACAAGCTTTTGTTATTTTGTTTTTTTTTTTACTCTCTTCTCAACTCTTCCCTTTCCACCCTCCACCCCTCATTTTTATTTTGTTTTGTTTTGTTTTTTGCTTGTTTGTTTTGTTTTGTTTTTTCTTCCTCTCCTTTTCCCAATTTAAAAAAAAAAATCTGGCTGAGTGGGTGCCTCACCCCCTACCACCTTTACAGTAGTGCTTGTTACTGGCCCTTTACATATGGTGTGCTCCCTCAGAATGAGCACCATATTTATACTGAAACTTTGTTTTGTAGCTAGTGTCAATACTGTGCTGTATTTGTTTGTTTTTCTTTTATCTGTATTTCTTCTTAGGTGTCTTCTCTCCTCCCTTGTTTTATTCTTTTATTTTTCCTTCCTCTTCCTTCACTTTATTTTTCTATTATTTCCTAGTAATTGGGAAGAAGCAGCTGTACCCATCCACTGGGCGAGTGCCACAATGTGCTCCAGCAATGTTGTATCAATGACAAAGGTGGCCAAGATCAATAAACATGATCCCACCCACTACCAAATCCATTTGGATACACGTGATGGGAGCCCTGGTGCTGCCAAGCTAGTAACCATTATAATATACCTACGCAGTTGTTCAGATATATTAAGACAAAAATCAAGGTGAAATAAATCAATATAGAATCAACAAATTAATGCAACACTGCTATATCTCAGAGACAACAGATAATATCAAATCACATGGAAAAAGAGGACAAAATGGCTCAGATGAGTGACCAAAATAAAGGGCCAGAAAATCTTCCTGGAAAAGAAATGCTATTGGAATTACCTGATAAGGAATTCAAAAGAATTATATTTAGACACTTTCAATGGATTGAGAGAAAGTTTGAGGAAGACAGACAAAACTCTAGAAAAAATTTTAAAATAGAAGAAATTGACAAATGAAAATAAAGAAAAAATTGCAAAATCAGCAAATACAAATCCAGAAGATTATTACTAAAATTTCGGAAATAGATAATGTATTGGAAGGACAAAGGAGTAGAATTGAACTAATGAAAGACAGAAAAGTTGAAAACAAATCTCTTTTTTATGAAAACTGTTTATCGTGAACTGAGTGAAGATTTACAGAGCAAATCATCAGTTTTGCATCAAAAAAAAAAAAATCACATACTTCATTCAGTCTGAATGATAGCAGTCCCTTTAATGTAACATTACCTATTTTATTTCACTTCCTGTTTCTCATTTTAATCCTCCTTCTTTCCCAACTCTCCTAAATTTTTTTCTTAGCTAATGCTGCCCTACCTTTAGATCTCAAATTGTTGACCAATCTATGGATACATACTTCACTAGTATTGTTGTCTCCCCCTTTTTACCTATCAGTTTGCTGAAAATTGAGCCTGGAGGGTGAGTTCAGTTCTAGACCTAAAGGACAACAAAGGCAATAGTCTCATGGTTTCCACAGTCTCTGACCAGTAAACCCAGTCTTTTTTTCTTTTCTTTTCTTTTTAAAGATTTTGAGTGTTCTATATTTTCTCTTGTTGCACACCTTTCCTAATATTAAACCATTCAGTGTTCCCATGTCCTGTTCAAACAACTGCCTCTTGGTCTATGTATACAGGTTCCTCATGAGCACAATTAAGTGTTTTGGAATACTCATATTTCACAATGTTGTCCAGAGCTTGTCATGATCCACACAATAGAAAGCCTTTGCATAGTCAATAAAGCACAGGTAAACATCTTTCTGGTATCCTCTGCTTTCACAAAGATCCATCTGATGTCAGCAATGATATCCCTGGTTCCATGTCCTCTTCTGAATCTTGCTTGAACCTCTGGAAGTTCACTGTCAATTATGGTTATAGCCATTTCTGTATACCTTCAGTAAAACTTTACTTTCATGGGATATCTAAGATATTGTCTGATGATTTCCACATGGTCACCTGTCTTTGGAATGGGCACAGATCCAGATCTCTTCCAGTCAGTTGGCCATAAAGTTGTCTTCCAAATTTCTTGGCACAGATGAGTGAGTACCTCCAGTGCCACCTCACTTTGTTGAAAGATTTCAATTTGTATTCCATAAATCTGAGAAGCTTGAAAAATGTGGCATCAGGATTGAAGGAAGACTCATTAACAACCTGCAATATGCAGATAACCTTGCTTGCTGAAAGTAAAGAGGACTTAAAACATTTACTGATGAAAATCAAAGAGCACAGCCTTCAGTATGGATTGCATCTCAATGTAAAGAAAACAAACATCCTCACCACGGGACCAATAAACAACATTCTTATCAATGGAGAAAAGACTGAAGTTGTCAAGGACTTCATTCTTGGATCAACAATCAACACTCATGGAAGCAGCAGTAAAAAAAAAAAATCAAATGACGTATTGCATTGGGCAAATCTTCTGCACAAGACCTTTTTAAAGTGTTGAAGAGCAAAGATGTCAGCTTGAGGACTAAGGTGCGCCTGACCCAAGCTATGGTGTTTTCAATAACCTCATATGCATGTGAAAGCTGGACAGTGAACAAAGAAGACCGTAGAAGAATTGATACATTTGAATTATGGTGTGGGAGGAGAATATTGAAAGTACCATGGTCTACCAAAAGAACAAACAGATCTGTGTTGTTAGAAGTGCAGCCACAGTGCTCCTTGAAGGCCAGGATGACCAGATTTCATCTATCATACTTCAGACATATTATCAGCAGGGAGAAGGACATCATGTCTGGTAAGGTGGAGGAGTAGAGAAAAAGAGGAAGATCCCTAGCAAGATGGATAGGCAAAGTGGCAGCATCAATGGGCTCAAGCATGGCAACAACTGTGAAGTTGACCCAGGACTGGGCAGCGTTTCATTCTGTTGTGTATAGGATAGGGTTGCTATGACTCAGTACCAACTTGATGGCACCTGAAAATGACAACAATGACATATTTTCTCCAACTATATCCAGGGCCCTCTAATGTGATTTTTTAAAGAGTCG